ACGGCGTTACCATGCACATGACCCAGGGATCGGAGGATCGGATCCCAGTAGATTCTGGATGGATGTCAAATGCATGGTGCAATAAAACCGAGATTTTATTAATCCTGCTTGCGCTCGTTTCTGTGGGTGTAATGATAATATAAATAGTCGAATTCATTATTTAACCACTTCACTCCACAGAGATTGCTGTAAGGTATAACATTATTTAGGTAAAGGGTAGGACGGGTCAAATTCTGGTAGAATGGCTATAACTGAAGAAAATGTAGACTTGACTCCAAACAGAGATATTTTCAAGGGAAGTACATTGCATAGGTTGAAAATTGTACAGAATACAGGAGACTCTTTTTCTCTACTGCTTTGGCCAGTGTGCTACCCCTATACAGTAAGGACTGAAGCTATGTTGTTGACACTGGCTGTACTGGTTACATTAATCCATTCCCTGAGCTATTTTGTAAAATGTCAGATATAGCACCCATTAGACTTAGTGGTTCTGAGTCGCAACGATGGTCTACCATGGTTGTCCTGGTCACCGCTAGCTTAAATGGGTGAGCGCTCAGCACATTCCCCCTACCCAGTCAAGAACATCGGTAAGCTTTTATATAGCAAACGGATGCCACGAAAAGGACCCTACCGCGTCTATTCTGCCCTCTTTACAAGCCAAGTGACAAGCAGAGGTGCCGTGAAAATCCACACAATCCAGATTTGCTCCTCCGGTTACCAAAACCTCGACGACCTCGAACGAATCTTGCTCCATGGAATAATGCAAGGCTGTTCGACCTGGAAAACGTCTGATGAGCTTGGAAACTAAACGATTTCTGGGATCTAGAATGTTCGAGAAGGAGTCAGCGGTAGCATTTGCATGTTAGCAGTGAGGACAGTCCAAGGGATGACATAAGGTTCGATTTTTGTCCGCGGAAAATAGCGGCAAACTACTGTGGTCTACTTGTATGGCTCATTCCCAACTACGGCTTGCCCTTGGAAACCACTTAGCATGAGACGTTTTGGAAATTCTGCGAGCATCTAGTGGTGCGTTCGACTGATGGGGAACCGAACCTAATGTCACACACTTGCTAGAAGATAGTATTGAGCGTTGACAGTGAGCAAATTGGAGCGAATATGAAATAAATTGGTCATATGAAGTCGAGCTCCGATTTGCCTTCATCTTATAGTGCCCTACCTACCGTATTACTTACTTTTGTTACTTCCACTTCTTTCACAAATCTTAATTCACCCCGAAGTACTACGATAAAGTGTCAATGATTGAAGGAACTGGTACCATTAAGTGATCTACAAAACCATTTTGCAGGTAATGTTTGTCGAACAACTTTTTTAGGATTAAAGTGATTGAAAAACTTGTCGCAGAGTATCTTGAATTGCTGGCGTTTTCCCAACCCTTTGTTTACATAGCTGAATTCGTGTGAAATTCCTGTGCTCCAATTTTTCCTTGAATTTCCACTGAAGTGCTTACCTCGGCCGTCTTCTTCATCAATCCACACAGATTTGTTGCCAAGAAGACTTTTTGCCATGACGGCGTTGCCCATTTGGACGGCCCTATGTAGGGCTGTTCCACTGAAAAAGCCAAATGACTGTTTTTTCATTGGAGAGATCATAGATGACGTCATCAAAAAACATAAACACTTTTGACTCACTGTTCGTTTTCGTCTACATTCGTTCGCTTTTGAATGGACAGCAGATCTGAAATTGTGTAGTAGTAAAAAATGAATGGGAAAAATAATAAAATCAGAAAGTTCTGCCACTCATTTTTNAGTTACACCGAGCCTTCGATTTTTCGTATTCCGACTCTGATAACAGTGAAAATTTCTGAACATTTGGAGATGACGTTTAATTCTTTGAGAATGGAATCGTTTGGCATTTGTTTTTCATATGTGGACAAATCACATTTTTAGTGGCCCACTTCAAATCCTGAAAACTCACAGTAAAACCGGTCACATTGCAATTTTTGATGTTTTCAAAGTTGAAACTAGCTGTGTGGAACATGATTCACGAATGGTCATGGGCAAGGAGGCGCTTCTACTGCACATGTCATATGTGGAGAACTAGTTTATATGTGCCAGTTTCGGTGGCACCTCCTGACCCACATCCTCAATGGAAAAGGAAAGCACGAACAACAACTACAGAAATGGAATGAGGTGGACTGAAAGTCAGTATACATAAATTCTGCATGGGGCTTTCTTAAGAGTGGATGTGGGGCAATGGGGAGACGTAGAATCACCACCGTTGGAGCCTCTGGTCGTAACAGTTAAGGTAGCATCAAGGGCAGGTCGGTACAGTTGAAAAGAATTACCGGAAGGTTACCCTGTAGAACTCAAAAGTTTGAGACATCAATCAAGCGAAATATATGGTCCCTCTGAAAGGAGTCCATGGACTGCGATGGACGCGGCATTGAGAACTGCACAAGACTTACTTTTCAACGGTAGCATAGCTTAAGGTTCGGAGTGGTCATATAGGTAATGAGGAGGAATTGAAGAAGCTAAAAACAGCTGATATGCCGGCGGGTCATTTATGATTGACGGAAACCGCCACCGCACCGACAAATCACTCGGTTAGATCGACAACCGTCGGCCGTCTTTGACGTCAATGCGGCCAGCCTCCTCCCAGTTCGCTACGGTATCGATACGGAGTACAGCAAAAAAAAAATCCTTTTTAGGTTTGACTGAAAGATAGGTGTCCTGATTATCTGACGGACGTCAGGATGATGAATGGGGTCAAGAGGTTACATTGAGCAAACAAGGCTAGAAGAATACAAAATCCTTCATACTTGAAGGACGATAGGAATCATGGACATGACAGTTGAAGATCTTGAAAGAAAACATCCATGGAAGGAAAAAAAATCTGTGGTTGTGCCCGATTTTCTAGAGTATGTCAAGTAGGGCTGCCTATGGGAGCCCAATCTATTTGAATATGATTCTATTGGAAGCAATGAATGGTTAACCGCTCCCTGATGAAGTGAGCTTTCATTATTGATCCCATTTGATCACCATAGATCAGGAGATTTGATAAACTTTGACGTAATACGATCTAATAAAGTACGACTTGGCAGATTTATCTCGTAGACTACCATGGGTATGAGGTATGAACCTAAAGCAAGGTGCTTTGTTATGGTTCAGTGCTAGGACACGTACCGCAGTGATTCGCCCGGGCAAGAGCTCAGGGAGAGCAGGCGTTTCGTGGCTTGAAATGGGTTGGAAAAAACTTAGTAGAGGAACAGATTGAGAGGCGAATTTCGACACTTACAGGACATGAAGCAGAAATTAACTCTTAGGTGGTCTTCGAGGGCGAGGTCTTCTATGTAAGTCGCTGAGTTTTCTTGAAGAAGCCAGTTTAAACTCGTCGTTTATGAGAGTCGAAAAAGGCAGTTATTCAATGAAATTATGTATTTCTACAAAGTTTGATTCACTCTACAATGCGGGTAGGAGCGAAAAGTAAACAAGAAAAACGATGTTCCAAACGGATTTGGTACGCAGTAAACCTTAACATAGAATTGTTGCTGCCAAAAAAACTGAATCTTGGGGTGAACGTAACAGGATTTAATATTGAATTTTTGATTAGATGTAGGTTGTTCACAAACATCTCGACGTTTCCATGCCATTTTGGTAACATGAAACGAAATATAAAGAACCATTGCTCTGATCAAGTAGAGCAGTCCTTGATAGAGAAGGGTTACTTCTTGATTTGAAGTTTATCAGCTATGAATGGAATAGTTTCGAAGAACCTCACCATAACTTCATGTTAAGATTGCGAACAAGCCTATGGTAGGGCACTTCGAATGGTGTTCAATGTTCCCGTTCAATTTGAATGTCAAATCCGGAAAAATTCTAGTACGATAAACAGGTTTTTCTCAACTTACAAACGTAAAAAATCAGGTTTATTTTAGCTGATACGTCACGTCTTTTGCTTGTTTCAGTTTCCTTTCACTACAACTACTTTTTTCACTTCCTTCAGACTAGTTTTGAGCGATAGAATTCGTAGATATTTGTGTTAGCGGAAAGTTCTCGCCCTTGGAAAATCATATAATGTAGAAAATGTAGAGCCTAAGGTGATACTTTGATTGAAAGAAATAATAAATAACCTAACATTAGACACCCAAATGAGGTTACTTTGATTGATTTCAGTTGTAATGGGAAGTGAATAGCCCAGTTGGGGTAGTGCACTCCCAAATGAGATGCTCCAAATGCAGTTGGAATTTCCGTTCTTCTCATGAAGTTACATCACTTAACTTGTTTGACTATATGTGAAATTTTCCTAATGTAAAATGATGCTTATTATCTTACTAATTTTTACTTTCTAACTGAATGAAAATGCACATCAAGGTAACATCGCCGTCTCATTTTTCTTATTAGAGAGCTATGAGTTGAATACGCCACCTTTTTTGAGCACCCAGTCCAATGAGTTCTGTGGTCATTTAAGCCTCGAAAAAGCTTGAATGTTTGCTCATGCAGATCAGCACTGTTTGGATTAAAATCAAAAAATCACAAAAAGAAATTTTATCTTCTATCCAAATTCACGCTCACACGGACACTGTAGCATTGTATTTAATTTTTTT